TTTTCTGTCCAGCTTGGGTCCAGTGGGTTTCGCTGATTCCCAGTACTGCTAAGTTGTATCTCCTCATTTCCATTGCTATTTGACTGGTCTTCCCGGTTTCCCACATTGTTCGAACGTTCCATGTACCTATAAAAATTTTTGCTCTGGTTGTTAGAAGGGGCATCGGCCTCGTGGCTTCCGAAGGAACTCGGCTTTCACCATGAAGCGTCATAATTCTTCTAACTGAAGACCTTCTAACTCCCAGGGCAGAGTTTAAATGGTTTGGATTATTTTTTCTGGTAAGCGTTTTTTTAGCGAGTTAGTTTTCTACGGGATGGGGACGCTAACCCCATGCCCAACCCTCCTCCTTTACCCGGGCTTGGGACCGGCAGTAACCCTATGAGAGCTACAGGCGGAGTTAACAAATCAAGTTGACTACTTTCAAATCTCATACCTAATCAAGACATTTTATTGTTAAAATTATTTATCTGGCTTACGATTATTTGCTGTGAAATAGATGGGTCGAAAACATGGGACGTCATCTAGATCAACTATCAATCAGTGAGTGTATTGTAATCGACTACCCATTTCAGGTTGGATGAATTAGTTACACTTCTAGAGATTAAGACACTCAGTCAGACAATAGGAGTTTTCGTACAAATCCGATAACATTGTCTGATGAATATCAAAAAAATAAATGTTCAAAATTGTCGATAATTTCTAAATAGACTAAATCGAATGAAACTACTTAATTAGGATAAAATGAATAGCTCCTACGTGGTTATAAATAATCTGTAAATAATATACAACATTCTAACTAATATACGTTCATGTAACCATCATTAAATTATATTTTTTATATGAGACCAGGTAATACTACCCGGCTGACAAACGAAAATAGATGGAATGGATTTGAGAAATGTCACTTCTGGTGATTGGGGGTGAGTTCATTGACCACCAGGCCACTCCTTCACGCATAACATTAATTATTAGAAAAAATAATTATTTATGCATCAAACTGAAGAGCTTATCTTTATTGTAAATTAATATAGTTAGATAACAATGTTTAATACCTGACAATAATAACCAGTAGGGACATTTAGAAGGCAATTATAATTTCATGATGTATTACTGACTAAATTATTAATTGCCGTTATAGACATTTTATTTCTCAGACTGAAAAAATAGGGATCTATTTGACAAAGACAGTTATATTACCCAATAGGATACTGAATGTATGTGGATGAGTAAATGAAAAATGACCAACGAAAGTCTACCTATATAAACCAGATTGAAGAAATCACGAAACATGGATTTACTACCGCCCTTTGGGTGCTTTCTTTAAATGACTCTATGCTTCATGGACGACCTTTGAGTGGTAATAAAGTGACCTACAGAAAATTGATCCACTTAATAGGGTCAAAAGAGGGTTATAAAGTAATGTGAGAAATTAGGATTAGGATCTATTGTTAGAAGTTAGTGTTACTAATGGGAGTTAGGATGTTCATCGTTAACGGCTAGAATGCTAATCAGCAATAAAGATGAATGAATTTTACGCTAAAACCCAAGAGTCCTAATCCTAGCTGTGATTGGTTCTTCCATAAATCATACTTCCACCTTGATAGTCGTTAACTCGCGTTCGGCGTGACGACATCTCAGATAAATATTTATGTATCAGTTCACTATGCACTTCATTCAGTATAATAGGTGTGGACGTTTTTTCCCTGTATCAATCTTGGTGAATCATATTCAGTATTTTTGTGATAAATAAGCTTTTTCGTCTGTATGTAATATTATCCAGCGTATGTTGAAAAGTCAGTGTATAAATGAGCTTATCTTGGTTTGATGATGACTTTTTTGAACAAATTGTATCGAGAATGTGTTTTTGAAGATTTAGTAAATCGTCATTTGCACCAGTGCTCTGTGTTCTTAATTTGCTTTGTGGGGATTACAGTCGTTCCTGATCGTCATATATAAACAATAAGAGAGCGGATATAACAGATGTGACACGAAGACAACAATAAGTACTTGAATTTGTCCTTACATTAATCCACTGTTTTAAATCTCTAGGTTATTTTATTAAATACCGTTTAATATGATGATTCCAACCGGAAAAGAAAAATTTCAAGTTTTACAGTTGGATTGTGATCTATCAAGTGAACCAATTTAGTGTGAAAATTAATAGTAATCCAAGATAAACAAATTTAGTTCTATCTCACGAACAATTTCAAGTAAAAGAGGTGATTTGCTACAAACTTATTCAATCTGGAAATAATCACTTTCAAATTCACTGTTATTCCCAAGTAATTCTTTAATTATTCTCAGTTAGTTGATGAAGTTAATCAAGATATATATATATATATATATATGAACCACCTTATAGATTCTTAAGATTTTCGATATGAGCATACAAACAACCTCCATATACCAATGAAATTGCATAAGCTTTTTAAAAGTATACTCAACGAAATATACTAGTTGATTCTGAGAGCCGAAGTCAATAAATCGTAGTGCTCTATATGACTCACGATTTTCGAAAGCTAATATAATTCCTATAATACGGGATAAGAATATTTGGTTAGTAAATGATCCGCTCAGATAATATTAAAGTTATTACCATGCTTTAATTGGTCACTTATACATATTTTGAAAATTCATAGAACAAAGCTAGTAAGTTAATATATAGACTCTGTGGATTGACTATGAAATAGTACCATTTGGGTTATGTGAACCTGAACACTGATAAGACGATAGTGTTAAATGCTTCAGTAAGTGAATATGTTGTCACATGTTAGGTTGTAAATGCAGATGATTGTTTTGTAGACAGTAATACTATCTCTTAAAACCACTTGACAAGCAATTTTATATAACAGGTACGTCCCATTATATGATTTATTATTGATGAATGATTACTACAATTATTGTATATTTTAAGTGCTTTATTCTGTTTCAGTCTTTAATAATACCATGATATAATTTCATACTGGTGACTTCAGATTCGGAATATCCATTTTCCCTTTCTGTGTCCTATTAAAGTTGCACTGTATGATTGCATCACTACAAATCTAGCTTCTAATTCTACGACATATTTCAAAAACATTACCTGTGACAAACGTACTTCTTTGTACAACAGTAGGAAAGTTAGTATTACTGAGATGTAACCAGGGAAATGTGCCGTACATTTTATAATGTGAAGATAAAGTAGTTGAGACAATTACCTCAGGACAAGACAAAATCGAAAAATTGTGATAGATTTACTTAATAACGGCAGACTAAATGGATGAAATATTTATTAAGTATTATTCTTTTCTACTTTTATGAAAACATCGTTGAAGATATAAGCATCTTAGCATTTGTTGGTAATGAGTATTTGAACTTTATATTCCTTTGTGAAGCTGGTGATACCCCAAAATGAAAGGAATAAGGAAGTTAGTAAACCAGGTTACGGACACTCATCAGCTAAGACAAGATATAGGTTATACAAGCCCAAAAACATACTTCACTCGCGTTAAAGTATGAATGTTTTGATGCCAAATTGGTGCAAATCCCCAACGCCTACGATACATGTTGTGAGCTTAATAGTAAGTTGTAGATATAATGAAAGGTTGTCTTAAAACTCGTATTTCAAAAAACGTGACTTGGATGATAATTGGCTTAATGTCATCTGTCCTCCATCTGGTTGTAGATCTCACAATACTACAATATGACTTGTTATTTCTTACCCCGTTTCTTAGTCTCTTACTACTGACGCTTTTATTGTTTGCACTTGTACTGATATTTTTTTACGTTTGCGAAGTGTAACAATTCAAAAGGACAAGTCACTATGTATTCTCTGCTAGTAAATGATGAGTCATATTTTTGGTCTCCGTAGGAAGATATCGAAATCACATTTGAATTTGATGTTTACAAAGAATAGAGCCCGTCATAATGCTCATCATCTGGAGAGGAACTATTAAAGAACAGCATAAGACTGTCAAAGTTGACCAAATACCACTTAGTGAACATTAGTCGATTGCCATTTTATGCAATAAACATTTCTTCTTAATCTATCATCTAAACATGTGGAGTTGTACTCGTATCAAGTTTCAACATTGGTGAGGTATTGATGTTAACTTATATTTTTGTTGAAATAACAGGAGGAACTTATTCCTAAGAATGATACAACTATCTCTTTGATGTTTGGACAAAATAAACTTTTGAGTTAGTAAATAAGGAAGTCTTGATTGATTATGAAATTTCCGAGAAAATACTTTTACAGAACGTAGTTATATCTGTAACATTTAGTTACGGCATAGACCGTCAGTGTAAAGTATGATCACTATAAACTAGTTAGCATAAAACCATAATACACTAAGTCCAGCTATTAAAACCCTCAAAAGCCAGCAATAATTATGTTTTTTCTATTTAACTTGAGATCTCACAATCGAGAACATTGATTATCTGTATCCCCCTAATGTACCAGATGAGTATACTATAATTGTAATAATAACTCCCATTTGAGACCTTGACGCTCATTACACAGGACATTACATAAAACCCGATACCAAAAAACCTAACAAGATTACGCAACTACTAAGTTAGAGACGCTTATAAACTGTAACATCAAGATATATAGATGTGCAAAGTTCTTAAGCCACACTGCCACGGTTGAATGTGAGGAGAAAGACATTGCGAGGTTGTGGAGCAACACCTCTGCCGGATTTCAGTACTAACCAGAATGTGGAACTGACATGCTTTCCTTACTGCCGTCTCAACATACGAATAGGATAAATCTAAGAACATTCACGATCAGATATTACACTCATCGTAATGATCTGCAACGAGCTTGGTTCTCATTAGAACACTAGGAGGTTTCAATGACGTATCGCAATTTGAGAAACAAATAGTTTGATAGAAATACCACCAACATTACAGCAACAGCGTGCTAGGACAATTGTAGGTTAAGACACTTCATTACAGATCAACTGAGACGAACTACAGAAACCCAGTAGAAATCCTCACGGTATATTAAAACAGTACAATAATGTAGTCACAACAATTTATATTAATCAGGAAAAAATGGTAAATGTACAGATTTGGAGCATAGAATACTAACTTTAAAAAAAAAACAGCAAATAGTATTCTCACCACGACCAACATCCAATTTCACAGTTCATCGTGGTCACCAGATGGCTCATCCGACGGTTTTGAATCGCTTGGAAGCTCTTCCTGTTCTTTTGTTTCTCCAGCCTCCTCTTTATCATCACCTTTCGCACTTGACTGTTCCTTAGAAACTTCAGCATTGTATCGTTTTCGCCACAGTCGCTCGCCTTCTTGTTTAGCGAAATCCGGACTGTCAGTAATTAAAATGTTGTCAAAGATTGATCCTGAATCGACTTGCCACAGATCAAAGCCGACATAACCAATGTCGTTCAGAACATACAATTCGGGATCATGTTTATATTCTGGATTGTCAATCTGTTGAGGCTTCCATTCTCCTTTGTATTTTGGATTATCGATACGTCTCGGTGTCCACTCACCTTTATATTCGGGATTGTCTTTTAGGGGAGGTTTCCATTCACCATCCATAACGTCATCCCAATCATCTGGCTTTTTGGCATCCATATCAGTTATCATTTTAGGTTGATTCCAATTATCAGGTTTCTTGTCATCCGGATCATCGATAAATTGCTCATCAACCCAGTCATCAGGTTTCTTATCATTTGGGTCCTAAAAGAGCATATAAACTATATTCAACAATCCTACGTCAATCTTTTTGGGAGGAAGCATATCCCAATCATCCTCCAATGATCCTTCTTCCACTTTTTCGTTATCAACTAAAACTTCATATTTGTTATTTGGATTAATAATTAGTGTGTGTAGATGCGTTTTTTGGTCATCTTTGCAGGGTATTTCTTTTTTAATCAGGTGGTTTTTTCCCTTATAGTTGAAAATGACATGGATTTTCTTTGTGGCCATGCCGCAAATATCAGGACCTGTAACAAAATTACGGAATGAACCAGAGCTTTACCAAACATGATCTTGTAAGGCGTTTCGCCGTGAAACTTCTTAGGATCAATATCTGAACCAAGAAGTTTGATATAAGCTCCTCCGCAGCTGACAGTTTTATCAAACTTGACGGTAAATTGGAGAACCATTGTTTTGTCACGGTTGCTGAACGGTTCAGAGATTTTACGTGCAATACCATAAAATCTAGCATCTTGAGTTGTTTTCAAGCCCAAATCTTCTATTGGGTCAACTGGAGATTTCCCAGCTTCTACTTTGAATTCCCCTTGCTTTTCGGCATTATATGTTGATTGCACCCAATCCTCAATAGATTCTAAAATTATTAACAAAACAATAACTATTGGTCAAAAAGTTACCATTAGGAAAAGTTTCCGAAAACCAAACTTCATGCCCCAGGGAGTATTCTGACAGCAACAAAACCACCAAAGCTAAGAGCATCCCGATAGGCGCAATCGTGTCGTGTTAGTCAAATCATGATCGCAAGATTTATATACGTAAACAGCGGCCAATCACAGAACTCCACAAAAGTGTTACAGAACAATTTTCAATCGTTTAAACAATAACTTTCAAGAAACTCTTATTTTAACTGGGTAACAAAGATTTTATCTCTACATGTTTCGTAAATCTATAGAATCGGTAGTAAATCACACTTCTACACACTTCGACTTATCGCTACCGAATTTTGCCATGAAATATCATTTATTAAGTGTAAGATATGTAAAACTAACAGAAGTTATCTCCTTTTGAATATATCCATATTATAGAATTTTCTCCTCCGAAAAATAGTTATATTTCCACTATTTCACTAAGCCCAAGACAAACCAACCATCGAACCTAACCAGTTCTACTTTAGACGGCATGCCACTAAATGTCATTGTCAATGGTACTCAACACGAATTAATCGATGAAACTCCACAAACTAACCTATGCAACAATCTCTTTAATACACACCCCTAGGATTTGCTCTTAATACATGCTACTGCTTTCTTAGGACCCTATATTTTAATGACAGTCACTAATAAGGACGATACACATGTTCATCAGGACAGAATAAATCGGGTTGGATATTAACCGCGGAGTATTACTTTGAAGTAATCTCGGAGGTTGCACTATTTCCCCCTGATCAAGTAGACATGTCATCGACATTGATCATCCACGTTGATTACCTACTGTTCAATATTGATCCGGGAGTAAATACGAAAAAAGTTGATGGATCTCGTTTGGAATTGTAGTGACTCACATTTATCACGAGAACACGACTGGTTTAATAGAAACAATTATTATTATAACCAACTGTACCAGTGTTTGTTTTAATGTGCTTTTGTTTGACTGTGCTAGTGACAGCTATATTGTGCTTCCATTCTTATTCTCACACTTTGATTGTGACTTCGCGCGAATTCGGTTACGTTCTGTAACCAAGCTTGTATCCTGGCACGATCTCGGTATCCTTTCGATGCCACGAGATCGCCAGCGAATATATCTCGATTTGGTCCATTAATTGCCTTCTGATATTTGGCTTCTCGGGATTTTACGGATTTATTTTGTTACGTTCAACCTTCGCCTTCTGACCTACTTGGCACGTGTTTCTTGGTGGCGGTGTCCATAGTCATTTACGACTCGACGCCACGCTACAGAATGACGTTCTGAACATTGGATCAAATCTGACGACTTTCAGCTGCTGAATCAAATGAAGTAAAACTGTATCCACCACCTGATCAAAGTCTGTAACAAAAATCCCATGATTGATGACTGTATTCTCAAGAGGAATAAAATGGAATATCTAGCCTTTGAAATTCCTACTATGGAGGATCGAAACTTATAACACATTTTTAGGAAAGTTTAGAGGTTTCGCCTTCGAACGACCGCATGCTGACAGCTGCTAACTAATTACATGTGGGAATGTGGGACAATCAAACCAATTAGCACACCTGAGGTTGTTTTTAACCATACGGAAATTATGAAGTGTTCGTATATTACGAACAAGGTACTACCATTATCATCACGATAATCTCAGAGAACTAAGGGGCTGAAGGCGTCATACACTAGTCGATAGGTGGTCATCAGAAACCACTCAATAAATCGTATTTGAGAAATAAGACTTCATCATTATGGATGCGAATGTATAAAGCTCAATAACGACATGTTACCAAGGGATCTAAAAGTTCAGTTGGTTCTCTTCAGCTTTAGTAAGATAGTAGTGTTGTTATATCGAAAATGCGTCATACCAATTGTCGGTACATATGCCCAAGGATCTATTAAGCTAAGGTTACGATAGTTTTGCTAGCTTGAAACAAGTAATAACGTAAATGACTTGGCAAACTCTGATGTAACTTGCTAAATTTCTAGTGCTTTTACGCATGAGACGCCAAATCAATAAGTTGTTCTTGATGTGTGAGTTACATGGGTTTTCCATATGCATTAAAACTTATGTACGGCAAAGATCTGCATAAAAAGTACTGCTGTAGTGGCAGTGCTAGAAAGAGTGCGCAAACAAATCAAGAACATTTCACATTGATATGTTCGTGTACCAGATAAATATTGAATATACTCGAGTATAGGAGCTGTGTCATAAGTTTATGATTATTATAATTTGAATGGAAAAAACGTGCTGAGTACAAGCTCTGATCTTTGCAACCGCGTGTCTGGAGTCTCATCCGGGTTGACGTGTGAGCTTCATAACTGCATGCTAAAATATGTTGCCCATCGCTTTGCACGAGGAGCTTTGGTTTTGTGCTTTCATAGCATCAAAAGCATACTTAATCACCTTTAACTCCAGTTATTTCGGATAAGGTTTGGAGTTTTCTTCCAATCCGTTTTGTGATACTTTTTCAGTTGATTGTCACAATGGTAATACTAAGAGTCAATCAAAAGTAGCACAAGGTCAATCGGCGACAGTTGGAAGTAACCTAAAGGTCAACTGCATCTCATTGGGGTCTATGGGTCAATTTCCTAGGGATAGAATGTTGTGTAAGTTAACGATTATTTGTACATTTCATTTGGTGGACCAATACACTTCCCACATTACTGTGTTCTTCCCCAAGCAGTCGGTTGAGGGGTTTACGAGTAGCGCACCGTGTATTAATATCAGATTACAAACACGTCGCGTCACAACAGTACCCGATTAAACATCACCCCAAAAGCCTAACTCTCGTGTTTTATGATATCAGTTAGACGTAGCTTATCCAAGAAGCAACTAGGCTTCTGGCGCTGGCTAGTAAGAAAGTTTGAGAGGGTTATGCTGACAATATGAGTACCGACAGCGAAGAATTTGTCATTGTTATAAGTGCTGTTACGAAATGAGAACACTCGCCTGGGAAACACAATGGTAATCTCTTTTGAAACAAAGAAAGAGCGATATATCACTGGATATCGGTGGTCACGATTTCAAAGTAGTGCCTGAAGACCCGGATAAGACCATTACCATTCCAAGTAGTCGAAATGTGTCTGTACTGACTGACGGGAAATGGGTGAATGCGGAAACAAGGAAGAGGAAGGAAAAAAACCCACAAATAGCTCTCGCTTGTCTGTTAGGTCTTTAGCAGAAATGTTTGTGTTGGTGGGTGTAAGATCCACTTTGAATGTTTTGTGTGTGAAAATCCCTCCATGTATACACTTGGACTTTTCTCCTATTTATTCCTTCAGTTGTACATTTCGTTAGTCTTTTTGATTCCATTTGGTTTAGTAATATTTGTATTTTATTGTAGTTTTTATTTTTCTTACGCCTTCACTAAGTTTCCGTGTTTCTTCCTGAACTCCATTTATGTTGTTTTACGTGGTACTTAGTGTTGGTGGCAACCATATTGGTTTGTTTCTCCTTTTGATTGTGTTGCTTGTATCGACTGGAATTGTGCATTTTTGATTGTGAATCGGAGCACTCTTCCAGAATCGGAATTGTTACAAAGCAATCAAATATTATCTTTTGGACAAATCTGTGCGTGATCTATCCAGACAGTATAGAATAGCATTTATTTGTTGCGATTGGTAATTTTCTCGCATCAAATATCAACTTCCTTATTTGTTGTAATCTAAATTTGATTAATTAAACAATTATTGGTCAGATAGCAGGGTGGTAATATTTGTTTAGGTAACAATGTACATTTAAATTTATGATGAATTTTAGAACCGTCATTTATCCAATTAATTTGGTCTGGTTTCAAACGGGCAATGGCGCGTATCTAACCCACCTAGACAGCTATTCTTCAGTCTAAGCCTTAGTTTGAATCTTACAGTGGGAAAAATTTGTTCTGCCGACAGAAGAAACCAGACTTGTATTGAACAGATCTTTATTTTTAAATCTTGAGATGTAGCGCGGAGAACGATACTTATTTTTCAAACACATGACGTTTATGAACATTCAGTGTAAGGTAATAGGAAATATAATACCTGCACAAAATAAGCAAAAGAATAATAACTTAAACGTTGATGTTTTGTCAACTCTTAACCAATCAACCGAAGTCGATGCAGACACATTATGAATCACAGAATACTCCACCGAAGTGACAAAGTAAGACTAAACTTAACTCTAGAGTAGTTGGAAAAAGTTTAATCCTATCGAATGCCATTGCAAGTAATTTTCTCGAATCAAACGACTCTGACCTAAAATTAACTAGATAAGAGCCCTCAGTAGTTAACAGGCAGGAAATGACAAAACAATCGAAAGCCATGGACACGACTTTCCAAGTAGTCCAATCCGCTCCTAGGTTGTTGTATGGAAGTTTAGAGAGTTAAAAGAAAATAATCTTACTAAAGGACATGCAAACGATTTAGGGTTAGTGTAATCTGTCATCAGAAATATATTGCCAGAAGAGGTTTTGAGGGTCCACATTACTGAAGTAATAGGACTCGGTTAGTGGGTCGGAGGTGAGACGAACAAAAATAATCTTGAAGTTATTGCTTAGAGGTTACTCTACATCTAGCCCAGCGCCGGCCAATCCTTTCCAACAGTTCCCGGTTGCTATACATTCTCTTCTAGTCTACTTCCGACTCCGGCTCAGCGTCTTTCGGTCTATCGCTTTTTTGCTTCCCCTAAAGATTCCAGATTGAGGCGTGCCTCGCGATACAGTTCGATGATTTTCGTATTGTATGTTCTATCAATTTCCAATGTCTTTTCTCAATTTCCTGTACATTCGAAAGCTGGTTTGTCCTCTTCCATAGTAGGCCATCGCTGATGGAATTCAGCCAACAGATATCGAGTATTTTCAATAAACAACTGTATATAAAAACTTGTGCCGTAGTTCTTCAAGTTTCGACTCCATACAGTAGAACTGTTTTGACGATTCTATTGAAAATTGTGACGTTGATATCCATTGTTTTAGGTTACAGATATTATTCAATTATTCACGAACTATGCTAAACAGTTATACCTAACTTGCCTTCTATGAGTAAGAACATGAAGTAAACCAGCACCTGTGTAAATTGCCAGATATTCTAAGGTGTTTAGACACAAAAAATGCTACTTACGTTCTTTTACAACTTCCGGTGGTTGATTCGACCATGCTCATCTGAAACACTTCTACACTGATGGACCTATTGGGATTCTCGCTAGCATGCTAAA